TGGCAGCATCCCAGTCGGCGGGCGTGTCGGACGACCAACAACAGCACATGTCGCCCGAGTGACCGTGTGCAAATTGCGACCAGTCGGTAGCAATCCTGTAATCCTGTCACCACCCTCTTCTTTCGGAAGCAACCTGTCTAGAATAACTAACAGTTGAGTGGGCCGTGTTTAGCCTTCCTCCACTGCGCCGGAAAAGGCGGCTACGGCATCATGACCTTCTGGCGGCAATCTTTATAAAATCGCTTCGCTCATTCCGCCGGCCCTGGAGCCCTCTTTAGGCCTCTTGGGGGCCTCTTGGGGACCTCTTGGGAATCTCTTGGGGCTCCTTGGCGGCGTCTTGGGGGGCCCCAGGACCTCTTGGGGGGCTCTTGTGGGCCTCTTGGGGCGGGAGGGGGGTAGTCGATTGCGGCTCCCCCCTCGGAGGCCACGATCCTCGTGAGGGGTGTCGAAAAATTGCCCGGTCCGGGGTCTCCTCCCGGGATTAGCCCGGGGTACTATTCGCCGGGGGACCCCCAGGGGCCGCCCCGTGCGCGCGAACTAGAAATCGCGAACTAGAAATAGTGTTAACCAGTTGCCGAGATCTTAGCAGGCGCGCCTCTGGCCCGTTGGGCCGGCGAATTTGAATATCTAGCGGGGTCCACTGGTCAATACCCATGCCAGCCTTCACTTCATATTTACGTGAGGCTGCCTCCTTGACTTCAGCTCCATGTATGGGGGGTAAGCCTTGCACCCATGCCCACTCACGAATATCAGCAACCGAGAACAGTACATCGTTGATGTCAAACTATCGACCTCGCCATAGTTCGTGCCATCTGGTAGTTGTGACGTCGATCGCATCCCGAGGGTGGAATAAGTGTTCTCCGTCTACTGTCAGCTCCTCCTGGACCTCTGGCGTGTCTTCGATACCGTTGTGAACTCAATGGGCTCTGGAAACGACAGGGCCGTTTTTTTACCGGTTCCGTTTTGCCGTTTTTGTTGCCGGTTCCGACGCCGTTTTTGTTACCAGATCCGTCGCCTTTGTTTGACCGGTTCAGGCTCTGGTTCCAATCCTGGAGCCGTTTTTGTTGCCGTTTCCGGTCGCCGTTTTTTTGCCGTTTCCATTTACAAGGGACATTTTTTCGGAAACGGTGAAGAAACGGCCCTGCCGTTTCCGGGGCCCGTTAAGCTTGTGAGTAACTCCAGGTATTGTTAATGTTGTGTTCCGTTCCTTGAACTCTTTAAGTCATTCCTTGAACTCTTGAAGTGACATTCTGGGAGCTTTGGCAGCAGCTCACTTCGACGCACACTGAGCTAACGGCAGAAATATGTCGAAACTCTGCGCGAATATTTCCTGGAGAAAAACGAACCATTGTTCCTAATCGTCGGCATCGTTGGGCGGTCGCATGTTGTGAGCCCCTGCAGCCAGACCAGACTGAGTCTCAAACCACGTTCGTGCAAGTATGTCAACTGCCGCTTACCGTTATCCCATTCACGATGCCGTTGGACCCAACTCAGAACCTGCAAGATTCCGGCCCATCATCTGGCGACCCGATCTTGTAGCGGTGTTTCCACGAAATTCGCCGCATGCTGAATCCGCTGCTCTTGAAGATACGGATCTGCTGGGTGCGAATTCTGTCCCAGAGGCTGTCCGTGACGAGCTGCTGTGGCATTCCCCAAGCACGCGACCCATCCAGCCTGCATCCCCGAAGCTTGGATAATGTGCGCCCCTCCGACTCGGAAAGCAAGTGAATCATGCGGACAAATTAGTGTAGCCTAGATTGCTTTCTGATGTGGCATGAAACTAACATGTGATTGAGCCGAAACCCAACGGATCGACGGCACGGGCACAAGAAGGCATCCCGAGGGGTCCTCACGTGGATTACCATGTTCATTCGCAACGAGGCAACTATCATTGACATCAGTGGGGGAGCTGCACAAGCCGGGGGGGGGGGGCTCTGAAACGAATTCCGCACTCTGATAGTGTCGATCTGGCCGCGGACACTGACACTGCAACACCTACTTGTGATGCGAACGGTGGGCTCTTGTGACCATCGCTACCTACACCAGAAGTTTCGGCCACCCCCGAATGTTTCAAAAACGTCCAGCCTGAAGCAGGTTGGCCCACGGATCCTCCTTATCACCCTCATCGAGAACGAACGTTTGGGAAGCAATCGGCTCAGGGAAATTTTGGGACAGGCACCTGCTGGATTTTGATTCAAAGAACAGAACTCGGCATAAATATAAACTGTCGGAGCTCCACGCGGATTTCTTTGATCTGCTCTGGAACCCCTAGCGGCGCCGCCCTTGGCGCGCTGCACGCACCAGGGAGGGGGATTCAGCTCAGACCGAACCAGTCCTAGCGGACATCCAGAAGTTTATGTTTACGCCTTTTGGTTCCTGTAACGTATTGGATTTTGACGGTCCAGTTTCCGTGGAACGTTTGTAGCGGGAGGTCGCGTGAAATTCTCGGCGGTATCTTGATCCTGGAACAGGCCGACGAGCAACGCAGTGGACTCGTCGATGCTTTTTGTTCCTTGGCTGAGGCTGACCTGCGTGCTCGCTCGGCCCTGGCTCTGCTGGCCTTGGACCCTGGCTGGCGTCGGCAACCTGCCCGGCCTGCACACTTTGTGGCAACCTGGGACCCTCGTCGCCATTCTCCTCCAGGCGCCCTGGTCTCGGCCGCGGCGAACCTGCGGGAGCTCGTGTCCTCCTCCTTCCTCTCCTCCTCCCTCTCCTCCCTCTCCTCCTCCTCCTCCTCCTCCTCCTCCTCCTCCTCCTCCTCCTCCTCCTCAGCTTAGCAGCAGGAAGGGGGGGAGGGAAGGAGAGACAGGCGGGCAGTTGGATGCTGAGAGTCGGAGGAGGAGGAGGAGGAGGAGACGCCGATGCCGCCGCTCTTCCCGCGCCCGCCACGGCCTGAGTCGCCTCGAAGCCTGGGTCAGGACGCACCCCTGGATAGGTCCCGGGAGCAGCGGCATCGGTGAAGCCGGACCAGGGTAGAAGATCGAGGTCGGTTCAGGGAGGGTATCTTCGTGCTTGTGGAACGTTTTTGTGCATCCTGGGTGAGGGTACCCTCGAATGTTTTTCAGTTTGGGCTGGCGGAGGGTCTCATGTTTTTGAAGGGTGTTCTTCTGGCCAAGGTCGAACTGTATGTTCGTGCCCCCCCGGCCCCCCGCAGAGAGGGAGGAGCAAAAAAGGAGGAGGAGGACCGCTCCGTTCAGAAGGCCCGAAGGAGAACCACGTCGTCCTTTGCCTCTGGCACTGCGCGCACGGGAGCGCCTTCACACTCGTCGAGCGCGTACTCTGTCTGAGCTGCGCCTGCGCCTGCGCCTGGTACGGCGTTTACATCAAGTACTTCTACCTGAAGCACTGGGTCCCAATCGCAACCGATGAGATGCTCGACGAGCTCAACATCGAGTTCCCGAGCACGTGGATGGAGGATCACTTTGATTCGCTGCTCATCGCCGTGGGGGCCGGCGCCATGGACATCATTCTTGGCAAGGAGGCGGTACGTGCGGTGTTACGGAAGGATTGGGACCAGAAAGGCGGCGTCAAAGGGTTCTTGTCGTTCTTGGCGAGTGCCTATGCCGCAGTGCTCACACTGGTCTCGGGGGTACATCTCGCGATCACGTTGTATAATGCAAAGGTGTCGATGCAGCTCAAGCTGATTGCCAAGCTGGCATGCACGCTGCTCGTCAAGCTGTGCGTCATCGAGAACGCAATGATCACGGCCAAAACCGTCTTGAGGGCGGGGCCAGAGAAAAGCAAGGACGCGTGAGACGTATCACAGCTGCGCAGGTCGCAAGATGCGTCCCTCGTCTGCCCGGCACGGCACCGGGCCCCCCCCCCTTCTGGAGATCCCACAGCGGTGGTCAAGTTTCTGACCCCCTTTTCAATCCGTCTGGCTGCACGTCTGGGGCCCGCGCAGAGTTTGCCTCGGATTCTGACCGCCAGGTTTATGAGGCCGCAGCTGTACTTTGGTCTCCGCTGTGCGCCTGGTGCTCCCGGGGGCGTAGCGCTTCGGTCTGCCGAGCACAGTGGGCGCCGCTCGAGCGTCAGCCCCCGTTTTCTTGAGGCCAAACACGAGAGGGGCCGGCATCTTCCTTGCGGCAGCCTCCGCTGCGGAAGGATGGGGAAGGAGGGGGATCAGGCAAGCTTAAGATGATCGACTAAGGAAAGCCTGCGTAAACGTAGATATTCAAAGGTCCGCGCGAAATTCTTGGATCTGCTCTGGACCTGGGTGCACTTGTAGCGCTGGCGAAAGGCATGTTTAAGCAATTCATGGGCCAAGATTTCTTTCGGGGAACGAGCAATGACATGTACAGAAAAACTCTGAGGTCCGCACGGATTTCCCGGATCGGCGCTGAACCTCTCTCCCTGGCGCGCGGAGCGCGCCAGGGGCGGCGCCGAAGGCGCCGCCAGGGGGGTTCAGCGCCGATCCGAGAAGTCTGCGCGGACCTCCGAGTTTTTATGTTTATGTCATTGTCCGTTCCCCTAGATTTGGATGTTGTTCGATGCGGTTCGATGTGAAGCCCGATTTGCTTCACGCCGACGTCGCCGATGCATCGCGCACGTCTACGATTCATCGCCGGTGCATCGCCGATGCATCGCCGGCATCGCCGATGCGTCAGCGATGCGGCGCGATCCTCCGAACCATCTACTCTGACCCCATCTAGGAGGCCTCTAGTAAATGGAGTGAGCAAGCAGAGATAATCAGCACGCGCAGCGTTCTGGAGCATCGGAGTTGCGAAGGGGCCAGATGCGACCCTCGAAAAAGAAAAAGCGCCGTAAACAGAAACTTTTAGCGCTCAGCGCGGATTTCTTGGATCCGCGCTGGGCCCCCCTGGCGGCGCCTCCGGCGCCGACCTTGGCGCGCTCCGCGCGCCAGGAAGGGGGGTCTGGCGCAGATCCAAGACATCCTCCCTCGAGTAAAGCTTCGCCACAGTTTTGGAGCATCGGAGCTGCGAAGGGGCCAGTTGCGACTGGCTTCGTTGCGATCTGGCACTTGGGATCCGAACTCTGATGCAGGGCCGCGCGGACTCGGTCGGTCTTATCATTGTTTCGGTGCCGTTTCGACGAGCCCTGCTTCATTATGCTGTATCAATTGCGAACCTTCGACCCGTGCCGGCTTTGTCAATGTGACCAGTGTTGGATTACCGCGCCCAACTTGTTATCTTACGAGCCTTGTATTCACAGCCGCTGTTTGTGTCATTGTCATCCTTGCCGCAGCCGTTTCGGCCTGAGCGGATTTGATGTGGAGTGCTTCGATCATCTAGCATCTAGCAGCGCCCTCCACCATGGAGAGGCAGGCGTCGTCGACGGAGTGCTGGCACGACGACGTGGAGGCCGCGAACGCGGAGCTGCGCGCCGCGGAGGCGGAGCTCGAGCGGGCTAAGCAGAGGATCCTGGCGGCAGAGCGGGCGGTCGGCGTCGCCCGACGGCTGAAGATACTCATTGTCGGCTTTGGGAACTTCGGCCAGTTCATGGCGAAGACCTTTATCTCGAAGAACAAAAGACGGTCAAATACATAATTTCTCTGAGGTCCGTGTGGATCTCTGAGACCTGCGCTGGCCCCCCTCTCTGGCGTTCGGAGCGCGCCCCGGGGCGGCGCCGGTGGCGCCGCCATGGGAGTTCAGCACCGATCCAAGGGATCCGCGCGGACCTCCGAAAGTTTATGTCAATGGAGTTGTTTGTTCCTCTATTATCCGGCTCGGGCACCACGTGATCGGCCAGTCTCGTGGAGACTACGCCGCAGAGGCTGCTGCCATTGGCGCCTACTACACGCGCGACATCAACGTGGCGCTCGAGAACGACCCGCACGTCGTCATATTCTGCACCTCCGTCTTGTCCACGGCGAAGGTCCTTGAGAAGTTCCCGAAGGAGGCGCTTGCAGGCAGGCTGGTGGTCGACGTTCTCTCCGTCAAAGAGTATCCCAAGAGCTTGCTGCTCGAGGAGATGCCTTCGTCGGCCGACATCCTCTGCACGCACCCGATGTTTGGCCCCCAGTCCGGAAAGGACGGCTGGCAAAACTTGCCCTTCGTGTACGAGAAGGTGCGCATATCGAGCCCGAGAGGCGCGGTCATTTGCACGGAGTTCTTGCGCATTTGGTCGGACGCAGGATGTAGAATGGTTGAAATGACTTGCGAGGAACATGACCGGCACGCCGCGGCTACGCAGTTCATCACACACACCACCGGTCGGTTGCTAGCTGAGTTGGCTCCTGAGACTACTCCGATCAATACGAAGGGCTACGAATCCTTGCTCCAATTAGTTTCCAACACTACTGGAGATTCGTTCGACTTGTATTGTGGCCTGTTCTACTATAACTCTTTCTCTAAGGCGCAGTTGGAGAAGCTGGAAGATGGCCTTAAGCGTGTTAAGGAGTCGCTTTTCGCTTTTGAAGCAGAGCAAATAAAAGAAGATGGTGGACCTCAAGCGAAATGGGTGTTGTCTCCATCAGGCTCGAAACCTGCTTGTAGTGGTAAAGCTGGCGTGTCGCAGTCATAGCATGACGACGTAGCTAGCGGTAGTTGATCAATCCAGAGTTCGTAGGACATTTGTTGGAACATATGCGCAGTATGCACCCCTCGTCTCTCATGGAAGTGGTTTGTGTTCAGTTGTTCTCTCTACAGAACTGGTCCTTTCCAATCTTGTCTGTGACGGGAGCTGTCTTCACGATCTACTTCGGAGGGGGGATGGAGAGGAGTACGGGGAACGGAACGAGATCATTGTCCTCTTCTTCACCATCATCTTTCCCTTCGTTCTCCCTCCTGATGTGCTTCACCTACTTCCCCACCTCCATTCCTCCCCCCTCCTCGTCGTGATATCCGATGGTCGCCTCGCCCTTGTCCGCATCCTCGTCCTCCTTCGCCCCCTCTTTTCCCTCCCCTCCTGTTCCTCGTCCACACACTCATCATCCTCCCATGCCACTTCCTTGTATGACGACGGAAAGGGATTAGGACGAGGAAGAGGAGGAGAGTAGAGGAGGACCTTGATGAGGACGAGTGAGAGGAGCAGGAAGAGGATCAGGAGGGGGAATAGTATGAGAGGGGGTGGAGGCGAACACGCCAGTCAGCATCGGAGTGCAAGCGGAAGAAGAGGCGGAGAACATTGGGAGCAGGAGAAGGACCGGTAGGAGCCGCAGGACCACTTCTGTAGTGGAAGCGGACAGGGGCAGTCCAGAGTTACTACCGTGTGCAGATTACGAACTTTGTATTGCATCGGCCTCTGTCCAGCTGCACGCTGCACGAAGACGCCACTTGTTGACGCCTCTGGCCAGGTGGAGCCTTGGCATGCATCTAGCTCTGCTGTGTTTCGATACTGGGCGGGGAAAACGGATCAATCCTGTCCAGCGTTGCATTGCATGCACATGGTTCATTTTAAATGATTCGAAAGTTCTTTGATGTTTTGGGGCGGCCAAGATCCTTTCACTTCTAATCGTTTTATCTTGGGCCTCTTCCTGGCCGCTAGGGGGCCAGGAACAATTAGAAACGAGCAAAAGTAGACATGAGCCCGATTAGAAATGAAGGACGTGTAGGCAAGCCTCCCAGACATCCGACGATGTGTGTGTGTGTGTGTTGCACTGCGTGGCCCTCGCGGTCCCGACCCGTTCCCTGGGGGTAGGTGGTTGCCCCGGGATCCACTCTTGATGCTAGATGGCCCAGGGGCCCGAGGACGGCCCCCAGTGGTCGATGCCCAGGGCAATGGCCAGGGTGGAACACACCACACTGCCGGAGATATGGGGTTGTAGTGGCGAAAGGCGTGGGCGTGAGCAGGCATAGAGTGACCCGTGGGAGTTTCTCTCTGCGGCGAGCCGGGGGGGGAAGTGAGAAGTGGCCCTCTCAGAGGGCAAGTCCCCCAGCCTTCTGAGAAGTTTCTCGCCCTTCCCCGGAGACACAGGAAACCTCTCAGAAGGCGCGAGGGCTTCTGAGAGGTCCCGCCGCCTTCTGAGAAGGCCTTCTCCTCCTCGCTTCCCCCCCTCGCTCGCCGCCGAGTCTCACGAGCTCACGCGGGGCGCTCCAGAAAGGCCCTCCCCTCCGGCGCACCCTTGCCGCCAGCGGAGCGCCGGCGGGGATGTCAACGGCGGCGGCTCCGCGGGCGGAGCTTGGCGGAAGCAGAGCGAGGCGTCCGCACGTCTGGCTTCCGCAGGCGGGCGATCGGTGCTCCCCGTGAGCCGAAGAAGCACTGCAGAAACATACTGGTCGGGGCCAGGACGAGGATAACTCAGGAGGAGAAAAAGCACGCAGACGCAATGAATCGTCGACTCCTAGGAGAATATGGGAAGTGGGGGGGAAGACGAGCACCCAGAAAATATGGGAAACGATGGGCAATCCTATTAGTTGTGTCTATTTATTAACGTGTCCCAGGGCCCCTTCAATAACTCCGTTCCAGAGCGTTCTGGAACGCTCTCAGAGCGTTCCGAAACGCTCTGAGAAGGCCGCGGCGCCCGAGGCATCCTGCAGAGCCGCCGGATCTTAGAGATTCTCGATTCATCCCCACCCGAATTTGTCCTCGTCTGGGTTTCGTCTCAACGTACGCTTTCGAAGCTCCGCGCGTATTTCTCGGATCGTCGCCGGATCCCCTCCCCCCGCGCGCTGAGCGAGCCAGGGGCGGCATTGGAGGCGCTGGCAGGGGGACCGGCGCTGATCCAAGAAACCCGCGCGGAGTTCCGAGAGTTCGTGCTCATGCAGCTCTCCGTTCCTCTAACGCAGTCAAGCCGCACAATAAGGACGAGCAAGTTCCCAAGGCTACCATTGCATCCTCGCCCCTTCGGCCCACCCGTAGCAGCTTTCGCTGGCCACCCTCGTTCGAAAGACGTTAACATGGCCCTCCAAGTGCCCTTGCATCCTTACCGCGCACCCGTAGTATGCGGTTTGACTGGGACGGTGTGGTACGATTCGACATTGTTGGCGAGTTTTGTCCGTGACTATGCTTGCGCCTTCTCGGGAGGAGTCTCGCTGGGCAGCCCGGGCCCGCGTCGGACATGGGCTGTCGCACTGACCCGAATCCAGACAACACCGCTACCGGGCCACAGGGGCAACGTCAGGGGGGATGCAGTCTGCCCTGATTGGTAGGTCGACCATGCCAGATTGAGTGTACCCGTATGTCCTTTCTATCCCGACCTATGCAATCCGTATGTCTTTTGGTGTTCTGGGGTCACGTTGCCGTCGAAAGAGTCTTGTGTCCTCTCTGGTGTCCTGTCCAATCAATTCCGACTGTAGGTTCAGGGGAGATGCATCGACCCCCAATCGCCCATTCATGGCCGATAGTAGAAAGGGGTCTGATGGCCCACCCCGGCCTCGCCTTCGTCGCACCATCACCCTTGGCGGAAGGCCGGCGGAAGTAGAGCGGCGTCTCGGCGTCCTTGGCCCAGTTCTTTTCAACACAGCGTTTTATTACGCCCTGCGCTGGGTAGGCTTAAGTCGGTCCTCCACCAGGCGTCCCTGATGCAGGTCCTTGGGCGCAGCGCTGTGAAAAAAAGAAGATAGCCATCTCGTATGAGCATGTTCTTTCGGAGGTCCTCGCGGATTTCTTGGATCGGCGCCAGACCCCCCTGCGGCGCCTCTATCGCCGCGCGCCAGGGGAGGGGTATCTTGCGATCTTGCGCCGATCCAAGAAACCTGCGCGGACCTCCGAAAGTTTATGTTTCTGCCGTTTCTTGTTCTTCTGACCCAGGCCAAGAAACACCCTGCTTGCCTCCAGGCTGCCCTAGGTTTGTTGGGGTTCGAGGGTCTTGCCGTGGAGGCCGTGGCGCTTCCACGCCAAAAATCAATGGACGTTCTGGGGTCTCAGGGTTGGGCTTCTCGTGGAAGGTTTCCTTTGGTCGAGCTTCTACTATACCTGCGACCAGCGTCCCACCTTGAACTGCTCTTCCTCTTCTTCCTCCTCCTCCTCCTCCTCTTCCTCCTGCTCCTCAATATCCTCCTTCTCCTTCTCCTCCTCCGCCTCCTCCTCCTCCTCCTCATCCTTCCCCCCTCCTCCTCCTCTCCTCCCTCCTCCTCCTCCTCCTCCTCCTCCTCCTCCCCCTCCCCTCCCCCCCTCCTCCTCCTCCTCCTCCTCCTCCTCCTCCTCCTCCTCTCAAGCAACTTGGGCCCGAGCATTTTGCGGCTCCCAAGTCCTCTGCACCTCCACGTGGTGCTTGAGGGACTTCGCCCTGGTGTCCGCCACACCACTGGGGCCACGACCAAGACAGAGGTTTGTACCAACCAGTACGCTTGTCAGCAGCATGGCGGCGTCGACGCCACCATGGACGAGGTGCGACAAATGCAAGCGCTGTGAGTGGAATTCGATTCTCAGCATGAACCAGCGGAAGTGCCCAGGCTGCCAGACCGTTCTCACGCTCTACAAGAAGCCGGTCAGAGGCACTGTCAGGTTCGACCTTGACACGGAGTCCGACGACATCGAGGACTTCTACGAGTGTGAGGAGGTGCCCAGCGGCGACTGGGGAGGTGGCGGCGGCAGCAGGTCGACTCGGCGCAGCCGCAGCCCATCCCCGTCAGGCGCCAAACGCAGTGGCAAGGGCGGCGGCTTCGAGGTCTCGCAGCACCTGCGCAAGGCCCTGGCAGCGACCAACGACAAGGAGCTGCAGAGCGCCCTCATGGCGCAGATCACACGGATCCAGAGCGACCCGCCGCCGCCCGCAGCCAACCCCGTCGATGCCATGAAGAGAGCGGACGGGGCCTTCAATAATGCGGACCACCTGCACGAGCAAGCCGTGGCCTCCGTCCTCCGCCTTCGCGCCAGCTTGAAGGCAGCGGAGGCCAAGGAAGAGGCGGCCGCCTTGCGCCTGGCCGAGGCCAAGGAGGCCAAGACGGCAGCAGCACGGGCGGTGGCCATGGCAGAGGGCGTCCAGGACGTCAACACGAATATGCAGAGCCAGAGCCAGCAGAAGGGCCCCATGTTCAAGCTACAGTGGGACGAGACCTTCTTCGCGGGCCTGGACAAGATGGATTGCACGGAGCCCGAGCGAGCCGCACTGCAGACACTCCAGCAGGAACTTCTCAATACACGTGGCTTATTGGAAGGCAAAGAGAAGGAGATCACACAGTGGCTCGGGCAGGCCAAGAAGTACCAGCAGGACATCACGGACAGGATGTCCAAGAAGCGCAAGGGCAAGGCAGGTGAAGCGGCCCCCCCATCGGAGGCCCAGCCTGCGGAGACGCCAGCGGCGGAGAGCTCGAAG